CCTGAAACAGCAAGTGTTCTTAACCACCCAGCCACCTCTCCAGCCCAATATAGTATTGAGTTTTACACAAATCGAATTTGTCTTTATATCTGCTCATTGGGAATCAGTTTCCAAAATACCCACCGACCCTTCACCATATGTGGGCTCTGCATTCTGATCCATTGAGTTGAGCCTGAAAGCACCATATAGAAAGATGCTTCAATAAAGAAAATGCCAGGTGGGGGTTGGAGAGATGGCTCAGAAGTTGAGATGTATATTACTCTTTTAGGGGATCCCGGTTGATTCCTAGCTCCAAGTTAGGCAGCTCACAACTGCCTGTGACTCAGGCTATAGGATATCTGACACCTCTGGCCTCCATGTGCTACCACACACACACACACACACACGACTTATACTCTCATAGATACACACACTCGCAGACATACATACACGATTAAAAAATCTTTTTAAAAAGAAAATGCAAGACCTCCCTTTTAGTTTGTAGAGTTTTCACTCATCAGCTTCTACCACAGACTATAAAGAGGTCAAGACACGAAAGGTTTAGAAGCTCCAGAGTTACCCAGTACCAGTAGCCCAAACAAATACCCTCCTTGTTTGTCAAAGGCTAGGATCCATCTAATGGCAGCCTGACCATCACTAACTTGTCACTAAACACAGAGATAGAATGACAATTAATTTAGTTAGCTGTGGATGTCCGAATGCAGGGTACAATATGGTTGTCTTTATCTTATCTGGGACTAATAGTTCCACCTGTCTTCTGGTACAACTACAAGGTTTTTAAGCTGCATGAGCATGTATTTTATATGAAGTGCTTTGGCAGATTCAGGAGAGATTAGACAAAGATATGAAGCAAGTTACTTGCCATAAGTCTGTGTATTAGCCAAAGAAAAGCCACTGAAGGAAAAAAGTGGTAAATTAGTGTCAGGTTTTAAAATGGCTTCTCTACTGACTAAGTCTGTAAGAGAAACTAGAGGATGCCAGGCACAGAAAGAGCAAGTAGGAAGCTTTTCTAACAGTCAGGGTGGAGGTAAGAAGCAGTCAGTAATGAAACTTCAGAGGGATGTGTATATATGGTCAGAAAGAGTGACTTAAATATTTTATTTTAGTTGATATATACTAACAGTGATGGTGGGGTGACAAGGATGATGACAAAGGTGGTGATGATTTATTGACAGGGGCTGGAGAGATAAGTCAGGCACTGAAGTGCTGAAGCATGAAGATACTGATTCAATCCCCAGCACCCACATAGACAGCTGGGTATAGTAATACACACTAGTAATTTCGGCACTATGCAGAGACAGAGGTTCCTTGGTGGCCACTGATCAGCCTAGCTGAATCCGCAAGCCTCAGACCATGAGAGTTCATATCTCAGAAAGCAAAGTGTCTGAGGAGACACCTAAGATTTGCTCTGGCCTTCACATGTACAGATGTGCGCGCACACACACTTACATACATGTGCACACACCACACATGCATGCACACACATGCAAAGTTATTGTAAGTCTACTTGTAGGACCAAGACAAAGGAGGACAATTTGGGAGACAGTGTGACTAGGAAATATAGATCTGTGAAGCAATCTGGGAAAGGGAGCCAGAGGGGATGTGGAAATGCTGGAAAAGGCAAATGAACACTAATGTTGAGATAGAGGCCTCGGGCTTTAGTTCTAACCTGACTTTCTCCATTACATGAACATGTCAGTTCACTTCCTCTGTATGCGGCTGGGCTGTTGGGCTGAGGAGGGCATTTTGACAGTGACTTATTCTAAAAGCTGTGCTGCTGATGGCTCATTTCTGGGAGGCTAGCAGGCCGCTTGAAGTGGACATCCTGGGCATCAGGGACTCACCACAGATACAGCAGAGGAGTATCGAAAGTGCAAGTGGAGCTTGGTGAGCCACAAGCACGGCACAGTGTGTGATGTGGTGTGCGGGTTGCCACAAGGCATTAACCATTTTCCCTGTTTGTTCTCTTTCACATTTCCCTGTTTCTTCTTTCTTCTCCTGTGTCTCCCTGTTTTCTTACTTAGGCTTGTATAGTTTCTCAGTGTTCCCCCTGATTAGCATTTCTTTCCCCTTTTTCACCCTCCTCTGAACCCTCACACACACTCATGGTAATTAATACTCTTTACCTCAAGAAGGCAAAGGCTACCCCATCCTAAACCCTCATTCTATTAAATTCAGTTTAAACAAAGACTAAAAATGCCTCTGTAATTCTAATTTCTAGGTAAAGCCAGAATAATAATGCTGCCCAAAGCTGGGGGAAAATCAATCTCCGTGGTGAGCTCCCTAGGCAATAGTAGCTAAGGACAAAATTATGTGGTTCGCCTCCCACACACCTCTGCAGCAGAAGGGGTTTCTGTGTAATGTTTTGTGGAAAGTGACACTTCAGATACAGCATTCCTATAGGAAAGGCCACGTAATGACATGGCAGATCCCAAGTTAGACCTGTGTCTCTGGACCCAAGTCATTTCTCTCTTTCCTTGATTTTTAATTTCTTACCTTTCAAGGCTTCATTCTTCTCCTCAGCCTTTTTGATTTCTCTGTAGTGAGCCCAGAGCATAGGCTTTCCTATGATGCCACAGTACTCTTCCTACATGATAAAAAAATGAGACCAAAGATAACAGTTCAAGAAACAAGAGGAAAATCATATATGGAGTACTCAGTGTCCTTCCCATCCCACCTGTTTCTTTTATCTTCATGTTCAATACAACAAATCAAGTTCTAAGCAGCCAGTTCACTCCCTGCTTATATAACCTAAACTAAAAAGGCAAGGAGAGGGGAGCCCCCAGAAGGGGCCAGGTTTGTGAACCGGCAGTGAGCTCCACCATAAAGAGTGTAGACACTTGACCAGGTGTTTAGAACATCGTTCGAATTTGAGACCCAGGTTGTTTTCTCCTTGTGTGCCCCTTTCTCTCTTGTCTTGGGCCTTCCTTCTTTCTCACTTTTTCTCAAATGATATCTCTTCCTCTTGCATGTTCCTCTTCCCCTTTGGATCTTCTCATATCAAATCCTCTTCTAATTCCCCCAACCTTGTATTTCATCTGTCTCCCCCTTTCTCAGGGGGAAGGCACACAAGTCTAGTAAAACAGAAAAGGTCACATTGGAAAAACCTGTTGGATGGCCTAAAGGTGAGTTTTCAATATAGGTCTCTGTAAATTTAAATGAAAGATGAAACACTCTCAGAAAATTATAGTAAGTTGACTCTTAACATAAATCTCATTATGTTTTCTGTAGTAACAAAAGAGGTGCAATTGCAGATAAAGATGTAGACCAGAATGTAGAGGGGGCTGTTGTGGACTCCTCTCTACCACAGACCAGATGGCAACTCCAGCAGGAGGCAGAACAGAAGGGGCTTTTGGTGATGCACTGGAAGAGAATTACACAGTACTGCTACTGCATGGGAGTTATTTCTCTCTTCTTACTAGACTGGCCCAGGGGTTGAACACAGGTTGTCAGGCTTGCCAGCTAGCACTTTACATAAGCCATATTGCCTGTGCACAGACATTTAGTTATAAAGAAAAGCTTTGTTATAAATAGTTTTATTATTTTTATTTTTAGCATTACTTCTATTTTCAGTAGCATTTGGGGATGAACGCAGGGCGTTACACATTAGCGTTGTACTACTGATTTACATACCAAGTTTGTTATTTTTTATTTTAATATTTTTTAGACTTATTTATTTTTTTGTGTATAAGTGTTTTGCCTGCTTGTATGGGCACTATGTATATCCCTTTGGAGATTGGATGAAGACATCACACTCCCTGGAACTGGACTATAGTATGGTAGATAATACTATGTACTTACTGTACAGCATAGCTATGAACTGCTATTTGAGTGCCAGGAACTATACCCAGGTCCTGTGCAAGAGCAGCAAGCACATAACAGCTAAGGTATCTTTCCATTTCTAATATTACTTTTTAATTGCTTACTTGTATTAATTTTTAGTCTTATACTTCAAAGTAAAAGCCTTTAGACTCCTTTGTATGTAAGAATATATTTTGTAATTCAGACTTTTGAAATAATGTGACTTTTGTGTTTTTTGTCAGATCAGTACAAACTACTAAACTAAAAACAAAACCCAACTCAGAAAAAGGCAATCTCTGCAAGAGGAAAACAGCAAAACCTTTTGTGTAGCAAAATAAAGGCTAATCACTCCATGCAAATCCACGCCAGTCTAATTTCTAAAATCCTATTTTAGATGTGTTTTTCTTCTTGTTTGTGGCTATGTATTTTTAAAAAGCTACAGAGCTATGAAAATTAAAAGAATTTTGATTACAAACTCAGTTTATAAGGCATCTTTGATCTGGGCTTGTTAGGACAGATTGTTCTTCTCTGTGGCTTTCCTGTAATGCCGGCCCCACTCTGTCTCCTGAATTGTTTTGGGGTCATTGGTAGTTAGGACTGGGTTCTTTAGGTATTTGTGTCCTGGCTGAATACTTGGTACTAAAGGAGTATTTATTGAATCCATAATTTGACAACACATGATACTAAGCGACAATTTACTGAGTGTCATTTGCAAACATATTTTTTAAAAATTCATTTAAAAGAGACTATATCTCTGGGCATGTGGATCACTAGAGGGGCACCTGCCTGTGCTGGCATGTGCAAGATCCTGACATTAATACCCAGCAACCACAAAGCCAAAAAGGAAAACCAGGACACTGCAGACAATCCTTGCCTGAAGAGGACTAGAGAGATGGCTCCCTATTTTAGAGTACTTGCTGTTTGTGCAGAGGACCTGAGTTCAGTTCCCAGTACTACACAGCAACTAACAACCATATGTAACTTCAGTACCAAAGGATCTGACACCCTCGTCTGGCCTCCATGAATAACCAGGCAAGCATGCAGTGCAAATGCAGACAAAAACGCTCCTACACATTAAAAATAAAGTTACTATCTAATTGTTTTAAAATCGGCTGGTCATTCTACAGCATGCCTTTCATATACTATCCAGTTAATCTGCACAGCAACCCATAGAGTACTGTTGTCTTCCTTCATTGCAGATGGTGAACTGAAGTTTGGAAGATATTTGCTCGAGGTATATGAATATCTAGAAAATGGTGAAACGGGATTTGAACACGAGAAGCCTTATAGCCAAGCTAAACTGTAACTCACAAACTCATGCACATCTCTGTTTAGCAGTACTCCTCTAGAGAAGAATCCTTTACCCATCCCCTGACTCACTGCCAAGGGGATTTGTCTTCCTTCACCTGCTGCTCTAAAGATGGGAAGAATTTCTTTCCCACCTTCACATCAAGAAAAAGATGTGACATGACATCAACAAGAGACTACTACTGGTGACGTGTTAAAATCTGAAGTGCAAATAAACATTTTGCAATTTGGAAATGACTTCTCCTTTATAAACTATTTCTTTGATATAGATTATCTGTGACAAACTAGGAAAGACACTCTTAACTACGACTGATTATTTCTAATAAGAGCCCTTCAAAGGGCTGCTGTACAGGACCTTAGAAAATAGGTCAGAAAATTCTTACAAACCTAAGGCATTATTATCAGATGACCAAAGAAAAATGAAAAGCATGTTCATAGCAAGGTGAAAGTTCAAAACAAGACTTGCACACAAATGATCATAGTGGGGTTTTTGTAGCAGAAAAAACTTGGACAGAAGCCAATTACCCATCAACAAATGAGTAGTTAAACAAATTGTGTGGTATGTTCATACAACACTAGCACTTAGCAACCAAAAGAAACTACTAATCAATGCTTCAACACTGCAGGCATAGAAACATCTTGAAAGAAGCCAGATAGTCAAAGAAGACCTAAAGTGATTTAAAAGATTTGGAAAACAACTCCTAAGAGGTCAGTGGCTATCTAAGGCAGTTAGTTAGAAGGGCAATGACTGCAAAGTGTGGTACAAGAAAACATTTTTCCCTTTATCTATTCACTTTACACCCTAATTACAGCTCCCCTCCCTCCTCCTTGTCCCATTCCTCCCAGGTACCAACCCTCCCCGGCACATCAACTTGTATCAGGACTAAGTGCATCCTCTTCCACTGAGGCCAGACAAGGCAGCCCAGCTAGGGAAAAGGGATGATGTAAAGGCAGGCAACAGAGTCTGAGTCAGAGACAGTTCCTGTTCCAATTGTTGGGGACCATATGAAGACCGAGCTGCACATCTGCTAGGTCCAGACCATGTATGCTCTTTGGTTGGTGGTTCAATCTCTGTGAGCCACCATGGGCCCAGGTTAGTTGGCTCTGTAGGTCTTCCTGTGGAGTACCTATGCCCTAAGCTCCCACAATCCTTCCTCCACTCTTCCACGCGACTCCCTGAGCTCTGACTAATGTTTGGCTGTGGGTCTGTGCAACTGTTTCCATCAGCTGCTGGATGAAGCCTCTCAGAAGACAGTTATGCTAGACTCCTGTCTGCAAGCATAGCAGACTATCAATAATGTCAAGGGTTATCTCTTTCCCTTGGGTGGGTCTCAAGTTGGGCCAGTCATCGGTTGGCCATTCCCTCTCTCTCTGCTCCATCTTTATCCCTGCACATCTTGTAAGCAGGGCAGATTTTGGGTAGAGGATTTTGTGGGTCCCCTCCTCTCTTCCTTCCATTGGAAGTCCTGCCTGGTTATAGGAGATGGTCACTTCAGACTCCATATCCTCACCCCACTGCTAAGAGTCTCAGCTAAGTTCACCCCCACATCCTCCCAGGAGCCTCCCCCACTTTCAGGTCTCTGGTTTCTCTCAGAAATGCCCCCAACAATTTCTGTGTGTCAGCCCTCTCACTCCCCCAATGCCTGTTCTCCTCCCAGTCCTTGTCCCACGCAGCAGATGCTGGCAAGGATGTGGAGCAAGGGGCACACTCCTCCATTGCTGGTGGGAATGTAAACTTGTACAATCATTTTAGAAATCAATTTGGTGGTTTCTCAGAAAATTGAGAATAGTTCTATTTCAAGACCCAGCTCTACCACTCCTGGGCATGTACTCAAAAGATGCTTCATCATACCACAAGATACTTATTCAACTACATGTTCATAGCAGCTTTATTTGTAATAGCCAGAAACAGGAAATGACCCAAAAGTCCCTCAACCAAAGAGTGGATAAAGAAAATGTGGTTCTTTTACACAATGGAACACTACTCAGCTATTAAACACAAGGACATTGTGAAATTTTCAGGCAAATGGATGGAACTAGAAAATATCATCCTGAGCGAGGTAACCCAGACCCAAAAGGACATACATGATATTTCTCACTTAAGTGGATATTAGCCATAATGTACAGGATAACCACATTACAATCCAGAGACCTAAAGAAGTTAAGTAAGAAGGCAGGCTCAAGGGAAGATGCTTGAGTCTCACACAGAAGAGGAAATAAAGTATTCTTTGGAAGTGGATGGAGACAAGGGAACTTTTGAAAGACATGGGAACGTCTTATCATTTGACCAAAGTGACAGTTATATCCATGTATATATTTGTCAATAAAATATTTACACGTGGGAATGTTTTATTTCATGTAAGTTATACTTTACTAAGTTGATTTTTATTTTGTTTTTTGTTTGTTGATTTTTTTTAATTTTGTTTTTGTTTTTTGAAATAGCATCTCACTATGTAGCCCTGGATATCCTGGAACTAGCTCTGTAGACTAGGCTGGCCTCCAATTCACTGAAATCTGCTTGCCTCTGCCTCACAAGTGCTGGGAGTAAAGGTGTCCACCAGCAGCAGCAGAAGGAAGTTTATTATTAAAGGCAGTATATAATTATAAACTAAAGCAATGAGATTCTATAGGTTGGATCTTGACTGGGCCCCATAGGTCCATGTACTGAAAACTTGGTCCCAGCTTTCGGTACTATTAGGAGGTAGCTGACTTTTAGGTAGTGGAAGAAAGTCAGATCACTGCAGGTGGTGGTGGTTTGAATGAGAATGCCTCCCCCGCCCCCCCCCCCCAGAAGCTCATGTATTTAAATGCTTGGTCTCTGATTGGTAGAAATGTTTGAATGTTTGGGAATGATTAGGTGTGGCCCTGTTGGAGGAGGTCGTTAATAGGGACAGTCTTGGAGGTTTTAAAAGCCCTGCAAGTCATTCCCACTTTCTCTCCTTCCCCCTCCCCCTTCCCCTCCCCCTTCCCCTTCTCCTTCCCCTTTCCCTCTCCCCTGCTTGTTGCATACGGATCAGACGGTAAGCTCTGAGCTACTGCTCCAGCACCATGCCTGCCTGCCTGCCTACCTGCTGCCATGATAATCCTAACTCCCTGGGTCCATAAACCCAATTAAACACTTCTTTTCTAAGTAGCCTTAATTATAGTGGTTGTCACAGCAATAGGAAAGTAACTAAGAGAAGGGTGTGCCCTTCTCGAGGAGGTTATGACTCTATTCTCTTCCTCCTTTTCCTTTTGCTTCCTGGCCACCATGAAATCAATTCCTTTCCATGTTTTCTCATCACGATATACTCTCCAGCCACAGGCCTCAAGCAACCACAGCCTGAAACCTCTAAAACCATGAGCCAAGTTTATGTTTTCATTTACTTTATTACAGTGACTGAAAGCATATGTACAAATGTGCATACACACACACACACACACACACACACACACACAATCAGTGGTAGAGCCTAGCACACCTGAGGCCCTAAGTCCAATTCTCAGCACCACTCAAAAGAAAGCTAACACAGTTTTAGAAGTCTTAAAAAAAAAAAAAAGGGCACCTACCCCCAAACCTGCTTGCTCTTATTGACATATCAACACTGCACTGTCAGAGAAGTCTGTGACACAGAAAGAGTGTTTACCTGCTCCACTCCTGGAAATGCTGCTGCCGGCATGGCAGAGAGGGAGGGAGGGATCAATTCCCAGTCTGAGGTTTTGACTTGGAACACATTTCCTAATAGCTTGCTAGAGAAGAGCTACAGAAGCTACATACAATATGATAATCAAATGAGTTTGCTATTTTCCCTTTTATATGTGAATTAGTGTAAGTAATTTTTAATCAGTGGGGATCAGGAGACAGTTCAACAGTTAAGAGCACTTGCTGCTTTTCCAGAAAACCCTGGTTCAGTCTCCACGGTAGTTCAAAAGTATCCATAAACCAGTTTCTGGGGGATCCAATACTCTCTATGGCCTCTAGGAACACCAGGCACACATGTGGTGCACAGACATACATGTAAGCAAAACTAGCATATACATATCATCAAAATACTTTTTAAGCCTTAAACAGGTCTGACTGATGGTGCACACCTGAAGTTCCAGTGTTTGTATGACTTGAGTCTCAGAATGTATCAATACAGTGTAGAAAGAGTCTGTCTTTTACAAAGTATATTTGGGATAGGGGCTGGTGAAATGGCTCAGTGGTTAAGAGCACTGACTGCTCTTCTGGAGAATATGAGTTCAAATCCCAGCAACCACATGGTGGCTCAGAACCATCTTGTAATGAGATCTGATGCCCTCTTATAGGGTGTCTGAAGACAGCTACAGTGTACTTACATATAATAAATAAATAAACAAACAAACCTTTGGGCAAGTGAGGCCAGGCCAGATTGAGGGGTACCTATATTCCTTTAAATAACCAGAGATGTAAAGCTTAAAGTAGTTTCTACTGATTTTTTTTTTGGGGGGGAACAACTTCTGAAGGGAAAATTTAGGCCAGAGTAACCTTTTGAAGCTATCTAGAGACTGAATCTAAAGACAAAGGCAACTGAATTTTCAAATTTGAGGTTTAAATGCTTATTTGGACTTATGATACCTTTGGACAGAGTACCATATAAAAAACGCTAAGCTATGGATGTAAAGCCAGCCTGTCGTGGGAGTGTGCCATTTCCTATATTGCTAATGAGAAAGGAATGGTTAAGGACTTTCTGCAAGAGTCATAGTAGACAGCTGGGTGGGGTTCGGGATGGAAGCCGATGGTACAGCTTATTTACATGGACACAGGCAAAAGAATATATGGTGATAATGGTCTGCTATTATTTGACTTGATCTATATAATTCCAGTGGTTACCTGCTCAGAGTAAAAGGTTCCAAGGTCACAGATTTAATATTTTTCTCAGGACTGAAGGACAACTTAGTGGTAAATTTTGTCTAATAAGTACAAAATATAAAAACAAATCAAACCAGATGACTAA